CTTGTAGCCTACTGGACTGTGAGAGAATAAACTTCTCTTTGTTGAAGCCATCCACTTGTGGTATTTCTGTTAGAGCAGCACTAGATGACTAAGACAGTGGGGTTTTGACATGTATCAGTAGATGAAAACAGAGCCTCTCTTTCATAGTCCCCATTCTCTTCCCTGTTAGCTCCTTATGTGCACTGACATGACCACTCCAAGATTTGGGGTAGATGTGCCCCAAGAACCAGACTGGTTTCTTCACACCACTGAATGGCAGCCATTCCTCACTTAGAACACTTGATGCTCGTATGGCCCTTCATTTTGATAAACAACTGGAAAGTCATGCAGATAACCTATGAATATGATTTGTCTTAGGAGAAAATACCAAGAGAATTAATCTCCATATGCTTAACCACCAGAGAGTAAATCGCAGGCACCAAGAATCACTAAGTGTACCTGGTAACAACGAGCTAAAAATGGAAAAAAAAAATCATGTTGTTGTTATATTCTTTTCCCTCCAAGGTATTCTCTGATAAACATCACAAGCTCCAAGGGAATTGTGAACAGTAACCTAGTAGGGTGGTTGATATTAGATATCCATTCTTTTTTCAAACAGTCATTGTATTTTTGGCGATTGGATATACAAGATTAAGTGTTCCTACCTGATTGGAAACCTTCTTGTCCTTAATTCATTGGCTATATTGGATTTTTTTTCTCCTTGGATCAGACCTTCAGATTTCTACTAGAAATCACTCCTTTGGGGAGACCAGGCCTTCTCAGAAACTCAGGAAACTGAAATGAAGACAGCAAGGGAGAGGAAATTATCTGTACATGTAGATTTTACTTTAAGTTTTAAGTAAACATTCAAGCATAGTGAATACATTCTGACAGGATTACAAGTTATATTCTGGGCTTTCAAGCCAAGTAGAGACTTCAAAAAAGGTTACTCAAGACATAAAATGAGCGCAACCATGGGCAAGTTTTCTAAGTTTTTTTTATTCAAAATTCAATAAGTCAGGATCTTTAGGCAATTATTTAATTTGATGAAATTCAATTACTCATAAAATAAACTTAGGAACTTGTGGAAAAATATTTCACAGAGACCCTTAATTTGTAGTATCCATTACATGCACACAAGCTTTTTCTTTTTCTTTTCTATTTTGGGTGTGTGTGTGTGTGTGTGTGTGTGTGTGTGTGTATGTAGCTCTTTTTGTAACAGTTGTGAGGGGAGAATAAATCTGTTGATAGCTATGCAGTGATTCAGAAAGCTACATATTAGGGTACAGGAAAAGGCAAACGAAGCAATAAAAGCATGAGACTGATTCCAAAATAATAACAGCAGTTTTCCTGACTGGCTAAGGGAGCAGACTCCTTAAATGACAGTCACACCTGTTAGAGATCATCGGCCCATGAATTCCACACCATTATTAATGGAAAGTGAGTGGCAATATCTCTCCTTCCCTGCCCTCATTGGCTGTTTATCTCTCTCTTCAAGGTCATGCTCTTTCCCATTTGTTTACAAACATTAGGATCTAGGAGAATTGACACATACTGTGACATTCCTTGGTCCCTGTGCCAGTGATGACCCTGCAAGCAGCATTAAATTGTTAAAACCCCACCCATTGCCATTGAGTCCATTTTGACTCATAGTAACCCTAATGGACAGAGTAGAACTGCCCCATAGGGTTTCCAAGGCTGTAAATCTTTGCTAAAGCAGATTGCCACATCTTTCTCCCTTCAGAGCAGCTGGTGGCTTTGAACCACCAACCTTTCGATTACCAGCCAAGCACTTAACCACTGCACCACCAGGACACCTCATTGAATTGTTAGGAGGCTAGACAGGTGTGAAATTGTCTTAGATCAAGTTTCCCCAGAAGCAGATTCTGAGGCACACATTTGAATGCATATCATTTATCTGGGAGATGGTCCCAGGGAGCCTAGGAGGGGAGTGGGAAAGTGAGACAGAATGGAAGGAAGCCAATAGAGGTGCCCTACTGAACAGATTACTCCCATGGGGGATGACTGTTGCTCCTGCAGGGAAGTTTGTGAGACTCATGCTTCACAATTATCCCAAAATTATGCAAAAGCTGAAGTACTTATCTTCCAACTTCCATCTAGCATTGGCTAAGAGCTACTTCCAGATACATTAACTCCCAGGTACTGGCCTGCCCTAATGTAGATAATTGCATGTTATTTATCAGTCCTCTGTCAGTATGTAGTGAAATGATGAGAACCAGGAAGGTGGAGGTTGGGTTCTGTCAACATCTGATACAATGGTGGGATTATTAGTATTGTTAATAATTGGCCTGCAAGTCCAAATGGATAACCTTAAGTTCCTGGATTAATGGTTATACTTTGAGGTTTTTAAATATTGATGTATCAGTAACAATTCCCTCTATTAAATCAGGTCTGTTATTGTTGGGTGCCTTCCAGTAGATTTTCGACTCATAGCAACCCCATGTGACAAAGTACAACCGCCCCATAGGATTTTCTAGGTTGTAATATTTATAGAAGCAGATTGTCAGTTCTTTTGCCAGCAGAACCACTGTGTGGGTTCGAACCACCAACCTTTTGGTTAGTAGCTGAGTGCTTAAAGGTTGTGCTACCAGGGCTCCTAAATCAGGATTAAGGTCCTAAATTCCTAATCTCCTGGAAAATTGTGGGCATCTTTGACAGAGCCCTAGTAAAAAAAATGAAACTAATAACATTTCAAGTTGACCATTCATCCATTGATTTATTAAACAAACATCTACTGAAAATCTAATGTATCTTAGGAATTAAACAAGGCACCAGGGTTACCATTATTAAAATCATTATCTTACCATCTAGAATTAAATCTATTGGGATAACTAGATACGCAAATGTACAATTACTGTAGAAATTATCACAGAGTGCTATGAAGAGACATAAGACAGGACCTTAATACATGATGTGGGGGCAGCAGTAAAAGGAATACTAGCAGGGTTTCCTGTAGAAGGCAATGATAGAAATGGATCTGTAATATGAAAGAAGGGCGAATGTTTCAGGTAGAGAAAAAAGTAAATTCAGTGTCAAGAAAAAGAATGGCTGAGGAATAGAACAGAAAAGCGCTCCATAGACAACTGGTATAAAGAGTGCTCATAGGGGTGTTAAAAAAAGCCAGATCATGAATGGTCTATGTATGAACCAATCATGTAGAATTTTATCCTAAGGAAGATGGGAAGTCACTAAAGTATTTGAACTGGAAAATTGAAGTTAGAAGAGAAGAAGAAGGAGGAGGAGGAGGAGGAGGAGGAGGACAAGAAAGAGAAGCTCTAGAAGAACTCCTAGAAAAGTTGATTTACATAACATGATTTTTGTTTTGTTATGTTTTTATTTCAGTTTTTGAAAGATCACTGTGGATCTTTCTAGAGTGGTGGATTGTTGGAGAAGGGTGGTAGCAAGCCTGTATACAAAAGATTAGTTATTAGTCCATTAATATAAGTCAAACAAGAAAGCAGACAGAAATTGGTAATTGACAATTCCTTCAAAAATGTTGAGCCAATGTTTTCTAGCCTCCATAGTTTCATAAGAGAAATCTGCTGTTGTTTAAATTGATTATTCTCTATAAGTAATGCATTGTTAATCTCTGCTTTCCTTTTTATTTTTTCCTTTGTATTTATTTTTCAGGATTTTAATTATGATACATCTTGATGAGTATCTTTGTGTTTATCCTATTTGAGGTACACTTAGGTTCTTGAATATGTAAGTTTATGTTTTTGCCAAATTTGTGAAGTTGTCAGTTAATTTTTCTTTGAATACTTTTTTAGTCCCACTTTCTCTTTTTTCATTCTGAGATTTTGATGATATGACATTAGCTCTTTTGTTATTGTCCCACAGGTTCCTGAGACCCTCCTGCTTTTCTCTCCCCTGCCATGCCCCCCGTCAATCTTTTCTCTGTTTTTCATTTTGGTAATTTCTATTGATCTGTCTTCAAGGTCACTGATTCTGTGCTCTTCCATCTCCACTCTACTCTTGAGCCAATACAGCAAAGTTTTTATTTTGATTATTGCATTTTTCAGTTCTATAAATTTCCATTTAGAAAATTCTGTAACGTCTATTTCTTTGCCTAGATTTTTTATTTTTTCATTTATTTCAAGAGAATTTATAATTATTTGTTGAAGCATTATATGATGGATTATTTAAAATTATAATTTTATTATTCTAATATCTCATTTATGTCTGTTCGGCATCCTTTGATTGTATTTCATTCATGTTGTGATCTTCCTGGACCTGGGTTTGATGAGTGATTTTCAATTGTAGTCTGAATATTTTTGATGTTACATTATATATGACTCTGGATTCTAATTTTTCTCCTCCTCCTTCTTCTTCCTTAAGCAGCCATCTTAGTATATTGAGATGTAGCCTGAGGTCTGGGTCGGGGGGTATGTATGACATTCCACTGGGCTTTGTGGATACTACCACAGCAGAAGTAGAACACTTACTTACATTGCTTATTGCAGACAGGCAGGGTGAGAGCTCAGTCCACCCCTTGGCCCTGGTGACACCTTTCTAGAGAAAGTGGGCACTGACTCACACCACTGTGCTGCCTCCAGGTAAGGGGGGTGGAAGCTCAGCTCCTCAGTAAACCCCAGTGACACCAGATGATGGCCATCTCGTTGATGATGGGTGTGGGGAGAGGCTCCTCTTTCCACAGAGCTTCACTGACACCAGAGTCGGGAGAAGAGAAGTGCTAATTTCCCCTGCTTTGCTCTACCACATTCGGTCTCCTTGCTTCAGGGTGGATGTGGACGTTCAGTACCCTACTGGGACTTGCTCACACCAGATTTCAGGGAAAAGTGGAATGCCTTCTAGCCCCAAGTACAACATCCTGTTCTTATTGATGTCAGGCAGGGTTGGACTCCAGTGACTGTAGGGGATGCGGGGGAGATGAGTGGTGACTAGTCCCACCAGGACCACTTCCTTAAGTCTCCTTGCTTCTGGGTAGAGGTTGAGGCCCAGCTACCGCTTGACCACACTGAATCAACTCTGGTGGGAGAATGACAGTGCTCCCTGCTTCTACCAGGCAAAGAATAGAAGATTAACTTTATGCTCAACTATGCCATTGCCATCAGATGAGGAAATTGGACCACACTGCCCACTTCTGGAAGGTGGGGGTGGGATGGGATGTAAGATCAACTTCTCACTTGGTTCCACTGAAACTGTAGGGCTTGGTGTAGTTTTTCCATTGGTGTTTGGCAGGAGTAGTGTGGGTGTTACCAAAAAGGCCTATGTTGTTAGTAGTCCTTTGGCTAGGCGGGACGGGCTTTTCTTGGAGCTTTTTTTTGCCTATGCCTGTTGGTGGTTATGGATTAGTGGCGTTTGTAGTATCCTGCCTGAGATATATGGGAGGCAATATGGAAACTCACCACCATGTCATTCCTGAAGTCCTGAGGTCCCTAGTAAGTCTGCCTTCTCTTTTCACCCTGCAGAGTCTTCCTATGCTGTTTATTATGTTATAACCCTGTGGGAAGACCTGGAAGGAATGGGGCTAATTTTGGCAGAACCAAAAGTGTGGTTTCTCAAAAGTTAGCAAAGTGTTTATAATTTGATTTTATACTATTAAAAGTCAAGTGTTCTTTTGGAATTGAAATTTACAGGTAAACAAAGGAAGGAGGCTAGAATAATCCATGTGGTGATAAATATATTGGAGACATCAATATAAACTCACGTTTAGCTTAATATAGATGCAGGCGGCTGCATATAAAAATATTATAGATATGTGATACATCTTGGATAGTATACATGCATATGTCTCCTTGCTCAGCCAGCTGAG